CTACTACTACTGCTGCTGCTGCTATTACTACTACTACTACTACTACTACTACTACTACGACTACGATTGCTACGACGACGACGACGACTACTAGTACTACTGCTGCTACTGCTACTACTACTACTACTACTACTACTACTACTACTACGACTACGATTACTACGACGACGACGACGACGACGACGAATACTACTACGACTACTACTACTACTACTACTACTACTACTACTAGTACTACTACTACTGCTAGGACGCTCGCTGGTGTCAGACCTGGGGTTTCCATGTGTTTCGGACTGGGCTGATTCAGCAGATATGAGCACCCCTACGGTGTTCTAGGCTGCCAGGAAGAATGGAATGCGCAAAAACTAGTGCATTTCGCGCCGTGAAGTGCCGAAACTAGTTGCAGTGCCGAGGAATTCGTGCATAATTCAGCTCAGGGTGTCAGATATCAGAAAGTAGTTTTTGAAGCTTTCGGTCACGGAAGTCTTATGCTTGTGACGGACACCGGCCCGGAATCATTGGGGCGTACTAAAAATTTAGAAACAAATAGCTGGGAGATAAATACGGGAACAGATACAAGAACAACTGAACAAACGCAAGTCAAATATGAGAAAAACTGTGAGAAACATAGGGGCGGAGTGGTCGACGTCAAAACGGAGTACAGAAAAGTGCAAGGAACACTCCCATAAAAGACACGAGAAACAGCAGGAAAACATACGAGCAAAAATACTAGAGATACGAGCATGCCCCAGCACGCAAGGAGCAAGCACGAGCAAATTGCAATCAAATATATGCGACTGAGAGAACTACGAGGGAAATGCGAGCATGCCCGAGCATAGGAGCAAGTACGAGTAAATTGCAAGAAAAATACGAGCGACAGCCCGCTGCTGCACTCAGCCAGCGTAAGACTTACGCAAACAGTTCGCGCAGGAAACCACAAAGGCACAGAACTCGGTTGAACATCACAAGATGGAAAGCCGAGCTACATCCCAGAAATCGACGAAACGGCGACGATGTTACTACTTGTACTATTTGTACTAGTATCGACGACGACTACGACTACGACCATTCTATCACATGTTTTTCTGCTACCGTTAACAGCGATGAGGGCGAGAACCGCCACTGATAGCGTCTTGAAAGTTGCTTCTTCTCTTATCTCTACTTGCTGTTGTGCATTCTACCACAATTTGAGACAGTTGTACTGCCAACGTCACTCAGGCTTTCTCTTCGGTTCTCCTCGCAGCAAGTTTTATGCACAAGGGTCCCGACCCGATTGCCCTTAACATCGGACAGCTGGCCTTCCTGCCATCGGCTTTCACAAATTCGGGAAGGGTCTCTGTTCAGGCCCGCTCGCAGCGCAGTTTACCATAGATCAAGTTTAAAATTACGTTTCGGTCCGGAGAACCCGAAGGTGCAAAATCTGCAGCGCCCACGGAGTGTTAGATTGCGGGTATGGCTTGTCAAGCAACCGTTTTGGTTCTAGACGTTCCCAGCTTGTAAGTTCCATGAAGCTTCATTGGCAGGCTGAGGGGTTGAAGTATTTGCCGTTCCAGTTTTAGTTGAATCTGTGTTGGCTGCTTTGGATTGTCTCAGGTCCGGCGCCTGTTTTCCAGATTCTTTCAAGAGCTTGCTCTCGTCAGGACTCTTCTACCCGAGACCCTACGAGGTGCGGACCTGGTTTTCCGAGGGGGTTTGGGACCTGCCGCGCCCAACACTCCCAGTTAAAACCGTGAGCTTGAAGGCGCCACGAACTCTTGTGTGAGAGGAAGGCCCTTCGGATCTCTCAGAAACCAACCGAAAGCTTTCCACCGAGTACCTCCTAGACCGATGAGGCCAGCCTTCGGGTCTTGGGGTTTCATGGCTGAGTAAACGAAGATCTCGGCTTGTGCCGCCGACGCAGTTTGTCTTGGGTTGGCGCTACCCCATCCTCGTCGAAGAGCAGCTCTACGCGGTCGTGAAGAACGAGCTGAATGGTTCGACCTTCGTTCAGGAAGGCCCTGTCCTGCCCCGCGCTTAAGCCGCGGTCTGCTGTAGTCATCTAGTCATGGGCTTCGTGCTGCTTCATTTGCCTTATAGCTTCACGGATGCAGTAAGATCTGGCCGGCACAGCTTGGTTCCGGAATGTTCCTGACATGGAGCTGCGTTTCAGATGTCTCTACAGCATGCACGACTTCTTAATGCCGCAATGCTGGACGACTGAGAAAACTGGCTTTTTAGTGCAACGACTACTAGGCGATGGAGTTTCGGTCCAGTGCGTGTGGTTGTTTTACATCAGGCAAGACCCGCCCGCTTTTTGGCGCACCCCATCTCCAATCAGCAAGGTTGATGCTCGGTGCCTATGAGCAACCTGGTGCACTTGCAGTGGCTCTTAAGAGTTGCGTACGGTGTAGGTGGAGATCGTCTGTTCCTTTCGAGTCGGACTGGTATGCGGTCACGCAGCATGTCCGGGGGTCGAGACGAGGGTAGGAGCATTAGGACTTTCGCTGGCTCAAGGTTCTTCGCAATGCGAGATGGGATTTGGAGTTGGGTGTCTGTGATACGCCTGTGGGTGCGGAGTTTTGGTGAGAGTGTAACAAAGGGTGCAGCAAAGGGCTCGCCTTTTGAGGAGCCTTGCCTCTGCTTGCCATTTTTCTGGTCCTGCCTTCACAGGCAGCTCCTGAAGATGAGAACAAAAGTGGTGGTGCGCAAGGTGCCATGTGGTGCCACGGTTCAGTAGTTCAGAGAAAGCAGTGTGTAGTCCAGCAGGTCGTAGGCGACATCCAGAGATGAAGGTTTTGGACAAAGGCATGCGGATTAGCCCGCCACTTCTCTGACTTGCAGCTGGGACTGCTGTAATACCACGGTCAGGATGAGTACCTGCGCCTGGTCGATCGCCGCACTGGCGCGGAGCGAGTTGTTCACGGCCCAGCTGCCGTTGCACCTGCGCCGGAGGAGCTGGTGACCAGCATCCCTGTTTGTATTAAAGACTTGAGGATGGCAGCCGACCCGAACCCCACACCTAACTAGGTAACTAGATGCAAAGCTAATGTAAAGCTTCGCCGTTGAGCGGGTGGCGTCACGAAGTCAGCACCCGGCTGGGTTCGAACCCAGACAGCCGAATCTCTCGGGACCGAACGGCCATGGCTCGTTCGTATGGCGACTTTTTCACGGTGAGCAGAGGTCGGTGTCGCTTGACAAATGCTCTCTGTCTCGTGGTGCTTGAAGCTATTCACGGTGACGGGGTCGACATACTAATGGTCCCGCGAACTCATAGCCCCCGACGAAACCTGTTTCCGCGGCAGGAGGACATGCCGAGCGGCGTCGGCAAGGCTGCGACTCGGCTTCTGCACAAATTGCGCAGTGTAGAGCCAGGGTTTCATGTTTGACCGCGTCATGGAGCGCTGCCGAGAAATGGCAGTCGTCTGACAAACCAAGTTTGGATTGTCTGGCTGACAGAACCCGAGGCATTGCTGACACCCAACACGGCTGCGACTCTTGGTGGGAAATGGTCTTTCTTTCGCATACTTTACTCTGTTTCCTCTGGAACTCCTCATGCCCTCCGTTTTCATGCTGAATTGACGACACTTGCATTGGAATGCTAGGTACTATAGGGTCGCCCATGGCTTCGATGGACATTGCCCCGAATTCTCTTGTGTCCGTTTACCAGGCTGGTTTAGCCCTCGTAGAGGAGCCAAAGGAGACTTGCACGCACTCAGGATCGTCCTGGACCACTCTACGGGTCAGCAGCATCTACGAACGGCCGAAGGCGCTCTTGGCTTAGATCAGGTCTCCACCTGCCAGTGCGGCAAATCATCGCTCCCCCCCCGGATCTAACGCCCCCCCCGTGGTAGTGAACATAGCCCGGCGGTGGATGTTTCGGTTTTGGGCCCCGGAGTTGAAACTAAAGGAAAGGTGTCACCCGACAACGAGGGCTCAATTGGTCTTGCTAGGACCTGTACTGTCAAAAGTACTCCTGCGACTATGACTACGAAGATGAGTAGGAACGGTGTTATTGGTGGTCATTATGGGTAGGGCTCTTGCTGAATTGGTACTTGTACTATGAGCAAAATTAGCATTACTACTATGAGCACGAGGAGGTGTTTGAAGCTTTGGGGTCTATATAGAGCCCAAGAGATGTCAAGAGTTAGGGCTTCAAGGGTTCCAGGCGTTCTTGCATGCAAGCCTTCAGCAAAAAAAAGGTTCCAGGCATATTTAAGGGACGGCATCCGAAACCCTACGATTTCACGAGCGTGTGAGTGCTAATATCTGGTGGTGGGCAGGAAGTTATATTCGATGCTCGGGGCAAGGCATTCCTGCTTCTGGTTAGTTTTCTGTTAGGGTCGCTTCTTGGATCACTCAGTATACCACTCTTAATTTAGAGGTATTTCCAAGCGAACTTGGGCAGAGACGGGGAGAGAAAGAGAGAGATAGCCACCCACCCACCCACACACACACTCACGCAAACCAAACTTATCCGATCCCCGGTCCACGAAATCAACCAACGTCAGCCAACGCAGGTTTGCTCATGCCCGCCGCGTGCCCGGCTCTGTCTTTCCAGGGAGACCGGGGGAGGAAGTACGTACAGGTCCCCATCCGCAGTCCTACACCATCCTCCAACCCTCGCCCCTTGACTTGTGTCTGCACCAGCAAAAAGCCGGAAACCAGAACTGTTGCAGCCTTGGCAGCTTTGACACCCGTCGTGGTGGTTTACACTTACATAATGTAATGAGAAGAGATAGAAAGTGTGAAAAGTCGACGAGGTTCGAAACTTTCTGAAATGTGTTTGTGTGGCTTAATCAGAAACGTCCGCGGTTTGTGCAGATTCGATGGCGTGAGAAGGCCTCGGACATGTAGGAGGGCGCTCGGACATGGAAAGTGTATGTAAAGCGCGATGTATTTTGCACCTTCGAGGCTTTGCCAGGCAACATGGCCTCAATGAAGCAACATATGCGGAGTCATAAGTTGTCATCAGCCGAAGCCGGCACTGAGCTTGAAAGAGGTACGAGGAGATCCTGGAGATCCGCTCAAAGATCCGGGTTTTGTCCCACCAGGCCAGCATTCGGATTCAGTTCTAGAGCCTCAGGGTCCATGTGTCGCTAATGTGGCACGGCAAGATACGGCAAGCACTTTTGCGCAGTCTTTTGCAGTCCGTCAGTGACTACAAGAGATTGGTTTCGGGAGTCTGGACTAAGAATGGCCAGTCGCCGGCTTCCACCAGCTACCCATAGGCCCCATAGTAGTTCCTTTTTGGTGGCTTATATTTAGGGTCCTATAGGGTAACCCCAAAAAGGAACTACTATGGGGCCTATGGCTAATGCAATTTTTTCATGATGCGTTTCCTCCGCAGGCCCTGTTTACGCGGGCTCCCACCGGCGCGATGACTCTTCACACAGCGGGTGTGCCGGCTGCACACATGCACATGCACACTTGGATAAACAGATAAGTGAACAATACAAATAGATAAATAAAAATATAAATAATATATATATATATATGAATATATATATGAATATAGAATACGTATGTATGTGTATATATATATATATATACACGCATACATCATGTTGTACTTACCAATTTATGTACAGATTTGTCTATGTATGGTTAACTTGGCTGTGCACTGTGCGTGTCATGCAGCGTGAACAAGCTGACTGCTGGGTCTCATGTCACGAGAGGATCTGAGACCAGATGATCCGACTTAACATGTGGCCAGCCAGCGAGTTCAAACCCTCCGCAGACGCATATCAAGTCTCTTCCATCTTGTGTTCGTGCCGAACAGGCACGTCAGCAGGTATGTGCGAGCTGGTCAGACATGTCTCAAATCGTGGGCCAAGAGTCCCTACAACTTGCGATGACTCCAGGCTCCTTCTTCTTGCAGCCGTACCACGACATCTTTTCTATGACGCTTGGCTGCGTCCAGGGTCTTGGGGATTTGGCCTCTGGTTCTTTCATGTTCCCGATTTCACGGCAGCCGTCGCAGCAAAGCTTATGGGATCGTGTTCTGTCATCTCTGCAATAGAGCGACGGCATCAAGCAGTACATGAGCCGTGGCACCTATATCGGAAAACCCTAGACCACCTAATCTCTCCTGCCCCAGAGCCCAGAATTTTCTGTAGCATGCTCAGAAATGGCATAGATGTATCGAAGCCTGAAGCAGTCAACTCGAAAGCCCGACAACTCACCAAGTCGGCAAAACAAAACCGATTTGCGAGACCCGGGCAGCAGCTTCAGAAAGTCAGTTTCAACAAGTTGGCAAGCTCCTTCAGCAGTCCCAGGCTCCATCAGAGGCTTCCGTAGGTGGCGCAGCCCAATGCTCCAAACCCTAGAACACATGACGTCAGCCTTTGGAGCCCCGATACTGCCCCAGATGCTTCAAAGCCCCAATCTCAAGCAAAGGCTCAGACTGTAATTCCCATGGACGTCTCGTAGAGTAGGCCTTGACCAGGCAATGGTCCGTCTACGATGGAAACACATCAGAGCCAGCACCCCGAGAGGAGGCACAGAGCCGTTTCGGGTCCAGGTTCCAGGCTAGCTCAAGTCAAGGAGGAAGAACAGGAATGGGAGAAATAGAGCTCAAAGTCTAAGTACTTCATGGCCGAACTGTGATGCGCTGCGGGTGACCTGTAGGAAAGTCGTTTCCAGAACCGATGGTCCCACGCCTCCTACATGTCTTGCACTTCGGGCTAGAGGAGCTCGCAAAACCAAGAGCCTAAGAGGTCGTCTCGAAGGTGTGGGTCTTTGGAAGGCTTGTGTCGCGAACGCACTGAGGCATGACTTACATGTGGCTGACACCCTTTCTGTGCCAGGGTTTTCTTATTGCATGCCTTCTTTATTCATTCTCTGGCTCTCACTCCCTCTCTCTCTCTCTGTCTCTCTCTCTTGCTGTGTCTCGCTCTTTCAAGGTCTCTCCCACAAACCCCCTTTCTGCCTCCTCAGTCCTCCGGCTTTTGGTACATTGGACGTTTTGCAAAACACACTTCATGCCGCAGAATTTGTCCCAGGTAACGGTCGTGGACCTTCGCACGAACAGGCGGCATCTCTTTCGTGTGGAAGGTTTTAAAGCAGCAAAGGTCCCGGATCCTTAAATTCCGAAACTCTTCCGCTGAATCCCGTCCATGTTCAAGTAGGTAATTACTGTGATCAAAAATAAGCTCTGGGCCTATCTTCAAGTATCCAAACCTGCTAGAGATTTGATCTTGCAGTGCAGTAGCAGAGATCACAGGACTTGAAGTTGACACCCCCGAAGCTCCAACAGCTCACGCTTGGCGCTTCTGGGATGTGTTGCTGACTGGCAGGCTTATGTCCGGATTTCGGTGGACCTCTTGTCTAGGACGTTGCGCTGGTGAGGGGCATCATCCCAAGACCGAAAGCCAAAACGCCCAAAACCCTCACAGGAAAGCGCGATTCGGGTCCGGTGTTGGCTGACAATGATACCTATGACCAACCCTGGCCCATGGCCACGAAAATCAGAAGCCGAATTTAAGAAATGTAAAAGTAACACACAGGAATTTAGAACCAGAGGCACCTTTTCGCCGTAACACCTATTTCTAGTGACTCTTGTGCAATTGAACCCGAGCCTTCCATCTGTCGATGCTCAGCCAGGCCCCTTATGAGCCCTCGTCAGGGCCGACCTGCAGTTGGCACGCATGCTGCTCTTTTTTGGTTGCGTTCGTTCTTTGTTCACATCAGTGTGGCCAGTGTGCCTCGTGTGTTTCATGCTACTACTATTGGGCTATCTGTTGATTGGACCATGAACATTTTCCTCTTCGGAACTGCTGGTATTGCTGGTGCTGTTTCTACAATCGAGGCTGCTAAATTCATGAGACAACTCATGACGACGATAGTGGCGGTACTTGTAGTAGTTGTAGCCACAGGAGCAGCAGCAGTATCTACAGTAGTAAAAGACGCACAACGAGTTATTTCATAGGACCGATTCAATACTAGCAGTAAGCAGTACGTAGTTCGTATTTAGTATAGTAACCGTCGAAAACCGGTCAGGCTTCCCTGGAAATACATTGCCAGCACGAAGGATAACGTTCGGCTGCAACTGGAAGGCTGGGGAGGGCGCAGTGAAGCCGTAAAGCCCAGCAGTAGGCCCGTTCTTTGAAGATTTGTGGTTGCCCATGCTGCGTGCTCAGACGAAGGGTTCTAGGATACTCATGAGATTTGCTTCGGCATTTCAGCTGCCGCCTCCTGCTGCTTCAGCTCTGGCGTTATTTGTGCTAAGTCTTCCCTCCCTCGCATCTTTGTATCAGGTCCCTTTCGCTCTGGCACTCCTTCTCTCTCCATGTCTGCCCTGCGCTCACTGATTGTCGACTCTGTAAGTACGGCAGGAAGACGCAAGGCTTCCACTTACTAGATGTGAGCCTCTTGCGCTGTTTCGCAGTGCCCAGAACCTCCAATGTGACTTTGAAGCGCGATTCTCATGATCATCCGAGTCCTGAAGCCCTCAACTCTAAGCCTCTAAGCCCTGAGACCATGAATTCCAGCAGGTGCGACACTGTGGCGGGTGGTCGATCCGATGACTATGGTGTCCCGGCTAAACGATGCTGTTCTAAGACATGAAAGGCCAAACTTTCAACGACTGCCTGATCACTATAGCAGGGTTGAAGTTGAGCACTCTCATAGTGCTTGGATGTGTTTTGGCCCGTTCGGAGAGCTCCTCTTTAGAAGCAGATCACCGATTTTGGAACGTCGGCGGCCATGGAGAGCTTGCTGAAACCTTGTCGTTATGGATTGTTTGGATTGGAGCAGTGGACGCAGACCAGAACACCGCAACAGAAGACCTCGTGTGCAGCTTCTGACACGCATGAAGTGCAGGGCGAGACCCAAAGATACCCAAAGCCCCATCGAGACTTGCAGCGACTTGCGTGTCTTTTGCAAGGCCCAGAGCTGCGAGGACGCACCGGGGGACATCCTTCAGCGCTCGCGTGCCAGAAGCCCGGGGTGCAGCCGATTGTTGACGTTCGCCAGCAGCTGCCGGGCTTGGGGAAGCTAGCCTCTTGCTGATGTGGGCCGTCTTAGACGCATCCACGGTGAGCAGGTCTAGCCAGTCCTAAATGCAGAAGAATACGACGATGACGACAACTACTACAGCTGGTCAAGCACGCGAGCAAGAGCAACAAGAAAGGCTGTCACAGCTTCAACACCACTGCAAAGAAGGAACTCAGCTGTGCCAACGCGGGGTACCCCGGTCGCATCATGGCATTAGTCCTCTGTTGCAAACATCAGCAGCAACGTAGCGAGGTATCAGTACAGAGCAGACATTGCACAGGTAGCAAGAATAGTAGACTAGACCTAGAACTTTTAGGTCATCACCGGGCACACAGGCCGGATATTTGGGCACACGACCACATTACTGGCACTGCCACCTGCCAGAAAAGTCAAAGGAACGGGAGACGAAGAGACAGATGGCTCTAGAAAGAGCGCCCAAAGCTAGCCAAACTCAGATCAGCCACAACGACCGAGAGCAGGTTTTTCTGCACCAACATCATCAAAAGCATGGGCAATAACGAAAGTGGCACTCAGAAAGAATGCTCAGCAGCAGTAGTAGACACATTAACCAAGTGGCAGTAGAACCTCGTCTCGGCAAGTTGCGAAAGCAGGCAGAGCAAGATAATGATTCACGTGGATTGCCATGAACTTCCACAAGGCCGCATTGTTGTCGGCCCTTGGACGAGTGCAGCTGCGCGACTTCACGGCCGGAGGGGGGTGGGTGGGTGCTTAGCCTAGGTGTAGTGAGTGTCAGCGCAGTAATACGGTACAAGGCCGGGTTGAGCGGTCACTTGAGGTCAGGGTCAGGGCTGAGGCATGGAGCTGCAGGGGACCAATCGAGACGTGGGAATTTCAGGGCTCCTCCGAAATCTCTGATGTCTGTGCTCTGCACATAGCGCCCACAATCCCTTTGCATCCGCCACGCAACCGGCTGCGAGGGAGTCCTCATGTGAGAGCTTGAAGGGTGCAGCATGTGCAATTGCAAGTGCTGCCAAGCTTTGAAGACTGTTGTAAGTTGCAAAGCCTATGATCAGGTGCCAGGCTTAGTATTGAGGCGTCTTTTTTGTTGGGGCTCACCTTCGACTGCTTGTGCACCAGTCGCGTGTCGCGGAAGTCACCAATGAGACGGCGGAGGCCTGAACTCGGGGCAAGTCTGCTGGTAGGTGTTTGATGTGGCTCCGGGGTCGGAACAGGGGACTTCTGGATGGATTTGGATGGTCGTCAGGCTTTCAAGTTTTCGATTAGAGTTTCGATGAGCTGCGGGCGTGAATGATCCCGCATTTGCCGATGAACTTTCGAATCATTGTGAACGCATTAGTTGCAACTAACACACTTGTTGGTGTGAATTGCCGAAGCCCGCAAAGGCAGGAAGGTGCACGCAGGCAGGGCTCGACACCAAACTCCGAAACCACAAGCTCCCACTCCCCGAAAGCTGGACAGAAGCAGCTCGGTGAGGCGCTGAAAACGGATGCGTTCGTCGTGCAACGAGGCCTGTGCCCTCGAGCGTCATGGATAGCAGACTCGCACTTGTTATGGCTCGAAAATAGAAGTTGGGGATGCCAGGGGTTTCTTGATGCAGCTGAGGGCTGTCAACTCCCAAAACTTGGGCTGCCAGATCAGGGGTTCCAATGCGAATCGAGGAAGGAAATGCCAAGACCCACGCTTAAGCTCCGGTGGATGAGCCATGACCTGTCATGACGGTCTCAGGCCTTGATCAGTCGAAGAAGCCCTGAGCTCACCGAAAGCTTGAATAACTGCACCGGCATTCCTGCAGATGCCCCTGGCTGGCAGTCCTAGACATGCACGCGGGAGAGGCGGAGACAGAGAGGAAGAAACTGCGACAAATGCGATGGTGAGAGAGAGTACGAGTATATGAGCTCTTGCAATTGTAAGCCCTAGGCGGAGCGTTTCCCGGCTTTTCGGAGCTGTGCGTTGCAAGCCGAAGAGCTCCAGGCTTGGAGGTCAGCGGAATCTCCGTGACGAGGTGCCAGGGCTTGGTACGGTCTTGAGGCCTCCGTTTGGTTTTAGACTCAAATCCAGGGAGTACAGGTTTCTTGAAAACTTTGCGTTTGGCTTGGGGGCGGGGCTGGAAACTCTGTTCTTTAAAGCCAGGAACCTCCTGTATGCCTACTAGTACAGTAGCCGGGCAATTAGAGCTAGTACGACTTTGCATAATCGGAGAGCGCAGGGAGTGCTGTTCGGAATTGGGGCTCCGGACTCAAATTGAGTATGCATTGCGACAGAGCTTTCTGTTCCACTGGTCCACAGGAAGCGTATGAATAGAATTTATCCAAGAGGAGCTGTGCGGATCTCTGCTTTGTCGAAGCTGAGCTATCACCTTCGAACTTCTGAGGGTTTGCGACGGTGGCAGCTGCACTCAAACTTGCACTAAGCATTTCTTCTTCCCTGGCACGCTCAGAGTCAGTTGAAATCCTCGAATTATTAGCTGCAACGTCTCCGAGCCTTGGCCAACATCCATGATGTAGGGTTGACGCCTTGAGTCCTAAGCCCTGCATCAAGTTCTGGAGTCGTCACATGCAGCAGTAGACTGATTGTTAAAATGGGCTGAGGATTGAGCCGGTGGATACGGAAGTCGTGGCATGGCAGCCGTAAGTCAAAGGGATTGTTTGGGGTTTGCCTCGACACCATCCTTTCTTGCACTGGCAGGCCAGTTGCGGCAATGTGTTGCAGTGCAGTGCATGTTGCAATTTGGAGAATGGCCTCAGATTTCCGAAATGTGGGTGCTGCTAGAGAATTTCATTCTAGCTTCTGACTCGTGGCTGAGACGTCGCAAAAGACCTCATGGAAACGATGCTTAGACTGTTCGCCCTGTCAAGGGGGCGGGCTGCGGTCGTTAAGGCAGGTTGCCCGTCCATGACCCCACGATGCCTCTTGACATGGAGTCTCGGGCACCAGTACTGGTGATGCTGGCCAGTTTCAGGACGTGAAGCCTGTGGCAAACTGGAAACTGGGCAAAGCCTGCCGCTCCTATCTTTTTGCAAGCTGAAGTTCGGAAGTATGTACCCTAAACATCCTCGACTTCACACCGGATGAGCTTCTACCACAGACGGGATTCAGGCGGAAGCCTTGCAAACTATGATCAAGGCGGTGACGCAGCACGCCTCCTGTCTGTAACTGTAGTCTGGAGTAAACCTTGCATAAGGACAATCTTCGGCCCGGTTACCGCACGATGGGATCATAGCAAGTGACATTAATCACGTTGATCGGAAGTGTGTCAAGCATCTCTTGGTGCTTGTGGAGTACTGTGGGGAGTAGCCAGTTGGATTATCATTTGAAAAGTCATTGAAGAGCATAGAATGTTCAAGAGTAGTCTGGCTAAGTAATGTTACCAGTTACGTATAGTGAAAACTACATCATCCTGGACTTGTGCATTCTGTTTTGTGTCAGATTCATTTATACAGTTTGGCAGTATAATATCCTGAGATCCAGCAGCAGTTATGTCTTCGCACACCTATTGTGCTGCCCGTATGCTAGATGAGTCTACATGCCCTCCTTTTTGCACTCCTTCACGACCTAGCGTGTTGATTCGTTGCATGGCACGGCCTTATCGTTGCTACCATGTCTAGTACAATTAATGATAACGATCATGATGAAGGGAATGCCCCACTCCATCGAGGTAATGTTGCTCACACTTAACAGAAGCAGCATTGTGCAAGTGCGCAGTTCGACGGTCTGTCAATGACCAATCCTTGCCAGCCGAGTAACGAGCTTTCTTTCGGTGGCAATGCGTGGAGAGCAAGAGTCAAGAAGATGCTGTAAACGTCTGCCTTGCATGCAACGCGACATGGCACAATCCTGGCGCGCCCTCCGAAAGCAGCAAGGCTTTCCTTGGTCCAGAGAAACACTCTGCACAAAGCGCAAGATGAGGTACATCCTGTAAGCTCTGGCTTGTTGGCTTTTGTTGGCACCCCGCAGATCAGACAACTTTCCCGGTCGGGACTGAAGCCGTTGGACAAGCTTCGTCTTCTCAGGAATTAATCACTAAGGCCTACGACAATGTTAAAGTTAAAACCTCGTAGCCTGGCACGTGCTGCGGCGCAGTTGCTGGAAGCCCAGGTCGCCGATATGCAGAGGACGGAGACAGCAGATGTGGTGACTTGGCATGAAAAGTTGTTGTCCTTGCTACAGGCATTGGGCAAGCGCCGGAGTCGGATTGTTGTAGAGGGCACCGGCTTTGCCATGGGGCGCGGCAGTTTTAGGAGATTCCGAGAATTGGAGTGTGCGCGGTCTGTGCACCATGAGTCCTTTTTCAGTGAAGCCTTGGTGAAAGCCTAGTATGGAACATGTCAGCCATACCAGTCTCTGCCGCTGATTGGCTCGTGCCTTTCACTAAAACGAGCTTTCTCGAAGTAGTGTTCGGCAACCTAGGGCTTTTGCTCCCATATCATGTCTTCTGGAGCCTGATATGGATCCGAAACCCGAGGCCGTAAACTCCTAACTACGAGGTTGAGAGCTAAGAGTTTGATACGCATTTCTTCGCCGCTTTGCCATGGCGGAAGACGGCATTTACATCTTAACATCGCTCCTGCGATGGTTCCTGGGCAGCATGCAGAACACTTTCGCGAATGAATCTGGAGGTGGCAATGCAGAGGGTAATAGGAGGGTAATAGGATGTAATAGGTGAGTGCATGGCACGGTTGCGCGAGACGTGAAGCACTGCGTTCCGGCTTAAGCCTTGCCTTCTTACCTGCACTCCCGATGTGTGGTGTGATGAATCGGGACGAAGACTGGAAGCTCCAAACCTGAATGCCTTGCTTGCAGCATTCGCAGTGTCCCCTGTAACTACCCAGAAACCGGAGCAACAATTCTGTTCTGATATGTTCTGATTGTGTCTACCACCAGTGCTGCTCACCTGTCACTGTTCGACATCTGCGGCTGCCCTGTATGCAAAGCTTCGGAACGTGGGTGAGGTTTCCTTTCTTCGAGGCGGTGCACTGGCTGCTGGTATGGTTGTCAAAGCGAGTACACCGTTCCTTGGCTTTCCGGGAAGCTCCGAGGGTGCAGTTTCGGCTTGCAGATGAACATATCCATGGAAATCCTAGCGATCGCAGTGCTGCAATGCCTGGATCTCTCTCGCCGACCCAACGTAGAATCAAGGTCGGCTAAGCTGCGTTTTGCAGCACTCAGCTATGATTTTGAGGCTGGCTTTGCCATACCGAGCACTGGGCAAAGAACTGACAACAAATTGACCGTGAAGCCCCGCTTCTCCCGGACTTGTCAGTGGCACCAGACAGTACCGAGGACCAGACTTCAAAGTGAATCATAACGAGTGGGCCAACCTCTTGATTTCCAATGGTCAGGCACCGGGGCGCCGGGTGTGCCTCAAATAGTAGTACCAGCAACAGTCAATGAAAGTAAGACTACTGAATAATGAGATGAGTAAACTAAACTAGACAATACTACTTGTAGTAAATGAGAGTAATCATTCCGACTACTTCTTCTACTACTACTACTACTACTATTATTATTATGTTATCTACTAACAACTAATCCCTCCGAATGAGAATAGCAGTGATTCCGCTTGCTTCTTGCTTAAAAAGCTTGAGGGTTGGGATTGAAACAGGCAGACTTTGGGCACAGTGGTGTGGTTGGGGCGTCTCATGCGTCTCAGGCTGAGAGGCCCAAATTCCTGTAAAGGCTTTTTACTCACTAAGACTGCGAGAACTACCAGCACATTCTTCAAGTTGGTTTCTGGCCTCGAGAGGCGTTGATCTCTGGCTCTGTGGGTGCCTACGCGTTGCTGTACGAGGCTGAGCTGGGCCTAGGGGTTAAATTTTCCAGCTCAGAAACACCAAGTCCTGCCCGGAGAAGTGAAATGGAAGCGGCATGGGGCGACACCTTGTTCGCCTCGACAATCCAAGATATTTTGTCTCGAGTTAGCGGGACACATAAATACATGCAAGCTGGACGCTTCTGAGAGGTGTCATCCAACAGGGAAGACTTGCGCTCAAAGGCCTTACGATTGACTTCCTTCACAGTATGATTGCAGACTCGCAGGCCTCAGGTGGTTTGTCCGAAGGATGGGAGACTAAGCTGGAAAAGTAGCCTGCCGCTCCGAAAAACGGCAAAAGAGGCCCTGCGACGTTTGAAGTCGTCAGCGCGCATCTCCAGCTACCACACGCTTGATGATGATAGTGAGTCTACTTGTTAGTTAGATAGCCATGGACGTCACTCCTCGGCAAGGTCTTCAGATTGGCGTAGATCTGGTGCCTGGATACCAGGTTAAGAAGATCAAACCGCGAAGAGCCTGGAATCTCAGCCCACAAACGCCAAAGAGCTCAAATCCCAGAGGAGCCGTTTGCGAGCACGACGACCAAGGTCCCGGCATGTTTTGTTGGAGTAGTTGGAGTTGGTCTTGTTTAGGCGCACACCGAGGAATTTGAGATAGACAGTGGGCAGGTAGGCCGGAGTGTTCCCATCATTTGTCGTATTGACCCTTCTGTAGAACACTCGACGACACTGGCAGTTGTTTTTGACTTGATGAGTTTCTGAGTCTGAGTCTTTACTATGTTGTGGTTTTGCTGTCGTTGTTGCCGGTGCGGTGGTTCCTGACTGTGTGTGACTGAGGCTACATCTGCGAACCGTTCTTGCTATAGGCTGATGTGTTCAGTTGTACACATTCTCACCTGTTCGGCAGGTGCTCCGGTTCGAGACCTCCATCGACACAGTACACGGCTATTCTCGATCACTGGAGCAGGCGAGTACCGCGATTCTGACGGCAAGTATGAGAGACCACCACCGGTAGCAGCACCAGCAGCACCAGCAGCACCAATGCCGGCACCGGCACCGGCACCCAGCACCATCATGAGCAGCAGCATCATCGCAGACTGGCTGCTGGCATCGATTCTGGTAGGGTCGTGCTGCAACAGTAAGCAGAAGGAAGGGAGGGGGAAATCGAAGTGGGGCTTCCAATTACAGGTTGACATTCTGCCGTCTTCTCCATCGCCAGCTTGCTTGTTTAGAGCACTCACAAGACCGCCTGCATCGCTCTCCAAGAGCTCTAGACGCTGTCCTGGGGCGGCGCGTTGTGAACTTCGGCCCTGCTTGGTTGTGCGCGGGTTTTAGTAGGTGCTGCCCTTCATCCTGGCCTACTTTGCGTACGACCTCCTGAACATGACGATGTTTATGAGCTATCCGGCATGCAGACCTGAGGTTGGTTTTGGGGGATTTGTCAGGGCATCTTTGGTTGGTGTTTTTCCATATCCATCGATCACTTGGAAGGTCTACTTGGCAGAGTCCCTGCCTAATGGGGTCTACGTAGGCCTAGGCGAGGATGGGCGTCTTCCGTCTTCTTTCGGTTCATTGTTCAGCGATGCTTATGCTGGTCATCAGTTTTCAGTCAAAGCACACCAGGCCAAAAAAATCGGAACCGATAACAGATTTGGGCTTATAATCAACTGGGTAGCAGATGGGCTCGTGGGCGAAAATTCCCCGTGGTCTTTCCAAGAGCATCTTCTGCGCCACTCCAAAGAACGGGAAGTAGTGGTCGGCTAGTCCAGTATCACTGAGTTCCAACTTTTTCCACAACTCAGGAGACAAGCCTACGGAAAAGCTCATGCTGATGCACCACGGGCTGTGTCTGCTGATTTGGCCGTTGAGCTTCCACTACAGAGCCGGTCGCATGGCTAGTCTGCCGAACGAACGGGTGTCTTTGTGTTCGCTTCGATTCTGCTGGTCAGCGGAGGGCTGCCGGCTAAGAAGGCCATAGAATCTTGGCGGTTCTGCTCTTATTCGGGTCTGGATAGGAGGGTATTTTCGTCCTCGAGCCATTCTGCATTGTCCGGAAGAACGACTGGCCGCCGTGTGCATGCGCAGAATGCTCGACTGGGGCGAGAGTAGCTGCAAAGCGCGACCGCATGTCTCGACACCAGGCCTGAGAAACACGATCAGCAGTGCCTTGATTTCATGGCAGGATGTCACCGATTTCTGAGGTAATTACTATGTGCTCTATTTCATTGCCGCGGAGCTTTCCACCTCACTTTCGTGGACTGCTGGATACTTTCTCCCTCTTTATGGATCCCTGCTTGCAATTCAAGGGAGTGGTCTTCCGCCTGAGTTTTGCAGTCATAGTCATAGCTGTGACACTTGAAACACATGCACGTAAGGAGTCATTGGCTTTGCTAGTTCAGCATGCGTGACAGACTTGTTCCAGTCAACATCAGGATCGCCTTACGTTTGGCGCTGTAATCATGTCTGTCATGTGCACACGCTCGTGTGGCCAGAAATCTCCGGACGACGTGAAATGACTGTGATAGTACTGTGATCCTGCTTCTACTCGACTCATTAGACCTTCCACTCGCTTCTAGCTTTCTTCACCCGAGCGCACATCAGAGGGAAGCTATGAGTCTATGCACGTGCTTAGCAGTATCTTCTTCCGAGCCATGGGCCATCTCAGGTATCACCGGGGCAGTCTACTATGTGGTTGGGACCTTCACCCTCATAGCCTTCACCACCGTCCGTGCACTTCCCTCGCCTTGGATCTGGTGGCTGCTTGCCTGCAGCTTCTGTGGCTTGTTGAGTCTGACGCTCTGGACTCAAGCGCGGATGCCAGAGTACTCTGCACAGGCACACTTTTTTGCAGGATCTCCACAGGTGGTCACATTTCTCGTTTGGCCAGAGTTGCCCTTCACACGGTTCGATCCGATAGATGACAGTTATGATAACACAAGATCGGGCCCGGAGGTAGAAATGATTGCACAAGTCCTGATGCAAAAAGGTAGAAATGACTGTCGCAGGCACTGCAGCACTGCATAGGCAAAGCTAGGACCACAACGACCAAAACAGCAGTGTAACTGGACTGTAGGAACGTGTGGGGTTTGTGTCTTACTGATTCTGCCGTGTGAGGTCTGTTTTTCTTGCCTTCGGTTTTCTGGCCAAATGGCCCATGTCAAAAGCCGACAAAACAGCCAAGTCGAGGCAACAAACCAACCATGAACAGCCCAACGAAGATTGCCAGCAGCCAATAGCCCAGAAACAGTAACACCCAGCAAACATTCGTACAGCCCAGGTAACCAAACTGCAGATACAAGAGCATACAACACTGCAAAATACCAGCCGGGTCTTCGGCAGATCTTTAGGTGTGTGGTGTTTGGTTGTTTTGTTAACTTGTTGATTGCTCTCAGCACTGTATTTTTGTATGCCTAGAGCGCAAGATGCGAGTGACTCATACAGTATCTGATTTCTTTGCAATCCGTGGTGTTCTCTGTGCGCCATCGCCCTGGTGAAGCAGAAATTGAAAGCAGCAAACGGATGGGTTCACCATGATGACATGGTTCGCGAATACTTCACAGCATTTTGTGGCATGTGGTGCAGAAAGTCAGCAGAATGCAATAATAACGTGAAGTCATCAGTCCCACGTGCACCGCTAGATGAAGGCGAGTTGTAGATGTACGCTATGTAGCGCAGTATGTACACGTCAGACAAGGCGAGAGGCCGCAATATCCCGTGACGCTGCTGGTTTGCTCGTTCTTGGTGCACACTGCCTGTGCAGCATAGTACAGCTCATTTCAGTCGAGTATTCGTTATTTCAGCACGGCCTCATGAATCCAACAAAGATCCGCGCTGTAAACAAGATGCAGCATCTCCAAAATGGTAAAGCTATCAGTATCACGAAGTAGTAGGCCTTGTGATATTGCGCAGAACATGGACGGACAGTGTCGCAGGGTCGCCAAGCAATCGAAGGTACTAGATAGTAGAATGTACTATGGTGTATGGTCTCATGTACTGCTACGCAGCATCCCGGCCAAGATCCAGGGGATAGCAGGATTTGAGAGAAGACTAAGTGCAACAAGTGCTTGCCGACGCTGAGAGAGCTTCAGAGCTTCAACATCATCTGAAGGCGTCCGTTTGTGCATCGAGTGCAAACTTGTCTGAACAACTCAGCCCCAGTCTGGCGAAGTATAAGCTGTTCAGACAGGAAAGCAAAGCGCTCTGGAGTTCTCATTTCGATAAGGTCGCTTCTCTCATCGCAGTCCTTCTGGGCAGACGTGCCGGTGGGCATCTATGCCGTAGCCTCCCGGCTCAGGTTTTGGGTTTTTGGCGGGGTAACCAGCAGAGGGTGTGTTCACGCGGCTCCGGGTTAAGGGCACAACCTTGCAGTCGGAGGGTTGCTTGGGGAGCATTCGGGGCTTGTTGCTCAGAGCTTGTTTTGCAAGCGGTTTTGCAAGGTACTGTATTCGGCGGTTTTGGGGCAAGATAGTAACACAAATTAATATAGTTAACCACGCAAGCTCTCTTTTCCTCTCTATCTCTTTCTCTCTTTTGCAAACACGGGGCAGCGCACAGGGCTGTTTCATCTCGGCAAGGTTGGTGTTATTCTTGCGGGGGTAGTTAACATATTCTCTGCGAGAGTCAAAAATTCGAAGGCCCCTGCTCTACTTACTCTACTTGTCCTACTTGTCCTAACTCCCACAGCCTCTCAGAGTCTAAAACCTAAGCCCTAAACTAAGAGATCGTAAACCCTAAACGTCCCTACACCAAGATTCTCCAGCCAACTTAGCAGGATCTTAGCACTACGTGTCTGTATTTTGATGGAGGTCTTGAGCTCGCTTATGTTTCACATCCAAGCAGACCTCGAACCACATGCCTCGGGGGTTTGGGGTTTAGGGTTTAGGGTTTCGCCTGGATTGTCCGAGTGTGAGCGCCCCAGCTAATATTCTTAGGCGATGCTCACGTTGCCCTTGCCGAGCCCTCTCTTTTTGTACTGGTGGTGCACGAGGCCGACTGGACGCATGATAATGATGAATAGTAGCAACACTCATAATAACAGTAGTAATAGTAACAATAATAACAAGGCGACGATAATATCATTAATCGTAGTAATAGTGCTGCTGCTACTACTACTACTACTACTACTACTACAAATACTACTACTACTACTACTACTACAACTACTACTACTACTACTACTACTACTACTACCGCCACTACCGCTACGACTACTACGACGACTACGACTACTACCACTACCAGCACCACCACCACCACCGTCACCACCACCGCCACCACCGCCGCCACCACGCGACGACGATTACTACGACACGACTACGACTACTACATACTACTACCACTACCAGCACCACCACCACCACCGTCACCACCACCACCGCCACCACCACCGCCACCACGCGACGACGATTACCACGACACGGCTACGACTACGACGACGACGACGACTACGACGACGACTACTACTACTACTATTGATGATGATATAAATCCTGCATTCCCCATAATAAGGAATATGCCATAATTCCCATAGTTTAGAGTCCTTAAGGTAATGCATCATTTATACCATCAGCAGTAGTAAGAGTCATGGTAGCAACATCAATAGTATCAGTACAGCTGCCAAGAAATCTAATTAGATTGGACAAATAAGCAGTACCGATGGCTTTAATGATTTTTGGTTTTGAATTTGAGCTTTAACTTTGGTAAAAGTTTACTCATCTTCTGTGTAATAGCAAAACTAGTAGTAGTAGTAGTAGTAGCAGCAGTAGTAGTAGTAGTAGTAGTAGCAGCAGCTGTAGTAGTAGTAGTAGTAGTAGTAGTAGTACTAGTAGTAGTAGTAGTAGTAGTTAGTAGTAGTAGTAGTAGT